ACCCTTGCCACCAGTGGATTCCTGGATCAGAGCCCCTGGAGGCCAAGCCTCAGTGATAGCCCAGGCTGGCTGAATGTTAAGGTTGTTTGTGGTCCTGGAATTCTCAGCTTCAATTCTCAGCTTACTTAGATTGTGGCCGTGAAAGATACCCTGCTCTCAGTGCTAGATGGGCAGAGGATGTGTGGCTGTGATGCTCCTAGCAGGCGAATGGGGAAGGGAGCCCCTTGGTCTTCTCTGTTTTGGCCTGTGGCCCCTGTCTGTTTCCTTAACCCCTTGAGCTGTCCTCTTTTTGTCTCCTTCCTCCCAAGAGAATGTGAACTAATTAATTTAGACATCTTGATTTCTGGGGTATGTGTAGGAATATGTGATTTACATGCTGCCCTGTCCTGGCTGGCACCATACCTTCCTGGCCCAGTGTTCTGGGAAATGGGTACAGAACCTGTAGCCCAGCATGTCCCAGGGCAGCTTCATGCCAAGGGCAGCTTTGTTTCCCGTCAACCCACTTCTTTGCCCACAGTTGCCTCCTTTCTCTCCCTGAGCCTAGTCACGTCCACTTGCATTTGTGTACCTGAGGCGTGTGTGTGCTGATCTCTAGATAGGCCCTGAAGGTGCAAGTGCAGACCCCTCAGGAGAAGGCCTGGGGCCATGTGTGATGTATATGGATTCTTTTCTCATGTGTATGCACATTGCAGTGGGGGTGGTGACTTTGTGGGGGGCGAGGGGGGGGGATAAGGACCCCGGAGCTACACAGAGCTGGGTCCAGAATCAGGAAATTCCTTCTCCAGGACTCAGCACCTGCTCTGGCCAGGCTTCCTAGGGACTGAACCTGTCTGGCCACCCTGCCCAGGTTGCTGCTGTCTTCTCAAAGGTCTCACTCACTGCCATGCCCTTACCTGTGCATGTTGCTGCTGTCCCTGCTCCCTGATGTGGTTCTGCCCCATCTGTAGGAGTCTCTTTTTCTTCTGGACTTTTCTCAGTCCCTGTATCCCTTCCCCTGTTGCACCCTCTGGCTATCCTGGACTGGGGTGAGGTGCATGGTGGGAAGGGAAGCCTGACTTGGCCACCTGTTCTGGGGTCCGCTCTCCATGTTCCTTGGTGGAACCACTGTCCCCAGGCACAGCTCTAAGCAGCTGGTGCCTCACCTTACCAGAGCTCAGGGGGTTAATGTATGATGTCACTCTGGTAGCTTCCCCTGGGTTCCCTTCCAGTAAGAGGGATGCCAAACTGTACAGGCTCTATTGGGGCTGTGATACAAGAGACAGTCAGATCTGGGTGTGAATTGCTGCTCAGCCAAGTGCTGGTGGTACGTTGGGCAGCTTTCTCAGCCTCTCTGAGCCTCAGCTTATAGCTCCATCATTCGGGGAGATATAGTGCCTGTGCCCAGAAAGTTCTTGCCAAGAATACGGGAGCTAAGAAAGGGAGAGGATCTCCCATCTCCCGAAGTGTAACCCACAGCACAATCCAAATACACCATCGCTGTCAGCTCTTCCTTCTGAGCTTTGCCCAGAGTCATTGAGGAAGTTTGGAGAAATTCCAGCAATGGGCGTCAGGGGAACATTTGGTCCCCCAGATGTGGCTTGAGGATCCAGTGCTTTCTGCTAGTGGTGGGGATCACTGGGCGGGGAGGAAGGAAAGATGGCCTCTATGTCCAGAGGCTTTTACTTCCTGCCAGGGCCCAGGGCAGCCAGATCCAGGGTGACAGTTTACAGCTGTCACCTTGCTTATCCAGGAGGATCGGGCCCCTGGCCCACCAGCAACTGTCCATGCCCAAGGTCATCACAGACATGAGCAGCAGTGACTGCAGCCAAGTTGTTGGGGTCCCTGCTGCTTGCTGAAGTGTCAGGGAGTCCTAGCTTAGGAGCACCTGCCTTCGCATTTTTGTGCCATTCCTTGGAGTCAGGAGTAGGGGATGGTACTAGTTCCAGGAGCTCAGGAGCCTAGTCTTGAAGAGGGTTTGGATAAACATAGAGAGATGGAGTCCCAAGTGTAGAACTGGAGAGCAAGGAGCTCATTCACCCCATGGGGACTCCCCAGGAGCAGCCAGGCAGGTCCAGAGTTGGGAGGGAGGAAGGCCTGGATGCCAGCCCCGCCCTCCAGCTGCAGGTGGTGGGAGCAGAGGCCCTGCCTGCATTGATGAAATGCTCTTGGTTCCTGGGGCTGGGCTGTGGGTACCTGGAGCATTTGTGAAGGCCAGACTGTAGGAACGCCCACATTTGTTCTCTTAATTTTAGAGATAGGAAAGCCAAGCAGCCAGGCCCCAGCTCCCTGCCAGAGGGGACAGAGCTCTGTGTGTCCTGACCTCTGCCTGTCCCGTGTCTCCAGACCATGCAAACAGCTGGGAGACCATTTCGCCTTTCACCTCCATGGCCTGAGCTCAAGCACAGCTGCCAGCAGGAAATGGCTTGCGGCCCCACCCACCCCTTGCTGCGGGGGAAGCGGGACTCCTGGCCCTTGAGCCTGGCTGGGTGCCCTGAAGAGCTGGGCCTCAGTCTCTCCACCTGTGACCTGGGAGGGATGGTTGGTAAACTGACCCACACGCTTCTGCCCTTTTAGCTACCAGGTAGTATTTGTTTTGATGTGGGGCTGGGAGCAGGGAACTGGAGCAATTGACTGGAACAGGCTGCAGGGCGCTGGAGGTAAAGGGGATTGGTCCAGGGATGGGGTTTGGGGCAGCTCTGGCTTTTGTATTTTTCTGACCATGGAGCTGTCCATGGGCAGGGGCTTGGCTCTGAGCCTTCTGCAGCAGCAATGGGACATGGGGCATGGAGCATGGAGAAACCTGAACGGCAGGCTGTTCAGGGCCTTTGGCAGCCCCCAGGATGCCCAAGAGCCATCCGTGGGCAGGGGAGTGTGGCCACAAGGCGGGGGAGACGCTTTTCAGGGTGTAATTAGTGCACTTTCTGGCACCACAAAACTTCCCCTTCCTCTTGACAATCTACTGCCAAAACAGCCTCCATTCCCGTGGACTTGCAAGAGAGAGGGAAAAAAAAGAAAGTAAGAAGGCTGTTCTTTGTGAAATCGCAGTTCCTAGTCACGGAGCTGAGTCACCCCCCTGGGATCTTCAAGTTTCTTGTTTGGATGAACTTCTCTCTGTGAGGCTGGGCCCATGGCCTCTCCATTTCCCTGACCCTGACCCCCAGTTGCGGGGGTGTAAGTAGGGTTGGGTTTCCTTGCCTGGGTAGTCCAGGGACTCCCAGGGCCACACAGAGCCAGGCTGGCTGTAGTTGAATGGTGGTGTGTGTGTGTGTGTATAGTGGTGGTGGTGGGTGCCTGGCAATCATGTTGGGTGAGCACTGACTTTCAGATTTTGGAAGATGATAAAGTTCTCATGGTTGGTGTTGGTGGCTGCAGTACAAAGCCAATTTACCACCACTGGACACATGTACTATGGCTGTTTTACCAAAGAATGCAGATTCCTGACCCTCTCTGTCCCAGGTGGCTGCTTTGGGTAGAGCTGAGATAGGGGCCCAGGAAACTGTGTTTGTTGCAGGTTCTTCCAATCAAGCTGGGGACACATGGGTCTGCATGTGAAATGGGGACAGTGATTCACAGGGTTGTGGTGAGGGCCAGCTATTTGAATATGCAAAGTTTCCCATGCTGGAGAAGAGACCCAAAGATATGGGGTCCGCAGCAGCTGCCATCACAAGAGCTCATCCCTATGTAACACCCCCAAGCCTGTAAGGCCAGCTGCTGGCTCCTACACCTCCAGGACTGGGTGACTCTGCCCCTTTCTGGGGGACCTCCCCCATCTGGGGTTCATTAAGAGCTGGAGTCCCCTGCAGGCTGAGCCTGGAGGTTCGCATGGTGTCCTCTACCGACCCTGGCTTTCATGGTGCAACTGCTGGTGTGGAATGGTTTTTGTGACCCACCCAGTCCCTGTGTGCAATAACAGAGGTCCAGAGAGCGAAATGGCTGGGCCAGGATCACACTGCAAGGTGTCTGAGGATGACAAAAGGGAATGGCAGACCCCTAAACAGAGAAACCACAGGGGGCACAGGCTGAGGATGCCTATGGGAAGAGTACAGAAGGGTGTCTGAGTTCCCACCCCACCCCAGAAGGAGCTCTCAGCCCCCTCCCTCCTCTTCCTACACTGAGCAATGCTCAGCTCCCCTTCGTTCAGCCAAGAACCCTTCCACACACACATACCACAGAGTAGAGCTGAACCCCGTCAGTTGGCCCTTTGGGGCAGTTGAACTGAGGCCAGGAGATGCCCCCTACACGGGCCTGGCACTGTTCCTCCTGGGGAAGCTGCCTCCCTCTCTCCAGGCTTGGCCTTGGCCCCAGACAGGGGAGCCTGTGGCCACAGCCCCACCTTCATTGAATTCCAGTGCACCGGGAGGCCCGGAGCCCGGGACGCCTATAAATAGAGGCTGTGTATACTAGGACGGGGCCTGGGCCGCATCTCGGCGAGTTGTCTGGTTCCTGTCATGGTAGGGAGGGTAACAAGGCCACTCCTCCAGCTCCTGTGGGCTCAGACGGTGACCCGAGGTGGTCCCCAATCAGACAGCATAACTTTGTGCCATGGACACTCACTGCAGGGCCTCTTTCTGGCCATGTGAGGAAACTGAGTCAGCAGCCACTTGCCTCAGATCCCTCCCTCAGCTAGCTTAGGGGCCCTAGGCCTGCCAGGTGACTTTCTAACTGTACTCACTGGCCTCAAGGTAGTGTGTTAAGGACAAGTAGTAATAATTATGACAGTCGTCATCATCATCATCATCTTATGCTGAGCAGGTCCCGACTCCTGTCCTCATTTTGGCCTCCCAGCAACTGGGGAGCTAAGGTTATTTCCATTTTACAGACAGGACCATGGACACACTGCTAGAGGTGGGATTTGCACACTGGCTCCTGGAGGAGACAGCCAAAGGTGCCATGAAAACTTGTGGGTGTTGGGTGTGTAGGGTGGGGTGAAGGGCTGAGGATACCCCCACCCCCACCTTTGCTCAGACTGTGGCTGCAAATGACTGTGTGTGTGTATGTGTGCCTCCTCTCTCCCTCCCCAGGCGCTGAGCAGCAGTGTGTACAAGAGCGCCTCGCCCTACGGCTCCCTCAACAACATCGCCGACGGCCTCAGCTCCCTCACCGAGCACTTCTCAGACCTGAACCTCACCTCGGAGGCCCGCAAGCCCAGCAAGCGGCCCCCTCCCAACTACCTGTGCCACCTGTGTTTCAACAAAGGACACTACATCAAGGACTGCCCCCAGGTAAGGCAGTCAGCCTGGCAGGGGAGGCGGGAAGGCAGACAGGAAGAGTGGCACTTTACCTGTTGATTTCCTCACTCATGCACAGCAGGCAGAGGCCCCCACTTGGGCCTGTGCTGGTTGCTCAGCATTCTATGGGCAGGTACTCCTGCACCCCAGCATCGCTTCCCCACCACTACCACCAAGAGCTGCCGGCCCTTCCAGGCTCTGCAGCCATCTTCCTGTGGGGCAAGATGGGCCAGCAGGCTCCTCACATTCACAAGGAAGGAATGCGGGCTCCAGGCCAGGAATGCACACGTGCACACTCTTCCCCAAGACCCCACCTCTGCCTCCTCAGCCCTGGCTAGCAGGAGGAGCAGGGCCTTGGCAGCCCCCCTGCCAACGCTCCCCCCTCGCCTGTGTGCCCCCAGGAGAGGACTGGGCAAGAGGCTGTGGCACTCTGGAGCTGGGCATCTCTCTCTCTCTCTCTCTCTCTCTCTCTCTCTCTCTCTCCCTGCCTCCCTCTCTCTGGAAGGAGGCCAGCAGGGTGTTGGGAGCAGCCCCCAACCTCCACCCGTTGTGGCTCATTGACCACATCTCCATGGCTGGGTGTGGCTCCGAGGCCCAGGCCCCTAGGGATTGGCCCCTGACTCACTGCTGGCCATGACTTTCACACCCAGGGAGAAAGGTTAGCAGCTGTTCTCAGTGGCAGGCGTGATGATGCGTGATTTCTGCTCCCATTATTGTTCATATTTTCCAACTTGCTCTTTTATAGTGTGGCACTGCTTTTCTTTTCTATATGTAACAAGACTGGAATTCTGGAAACTTCCAAGACCTCTGTCATATTCTCCTCCAGATGTGGGAGGTGTGGGGGCGGGGCTGGGTGGAACCAGGTCCTTCCAGGACCATTGTGGAGTGGGGAGAGCAGGATGCTAGATGTGCTTGTGGCACTCAGCTCAGAACAGCCATGTCCCTCACAGGGTGTCTCCTGGGGCAAGTGAAAACAGCTCCATCTTGGACCCTCCCCAGATCTGCACTCGCCCAAGTTCCCTGGATGGTCTGTGTGGCTTGTGCCCCCTGGACCTAGACCCCTGGGTGATGGGAGCAGCCCCACTGGAGCCTGTCCTCTGCCCCTGGCCCAGCATCCCTGGTTTTAGTACAAGCAGTCAGCAAGAGTCCCCCTCATGCAGGTTCTCCAAGTTGGTCCTCAAGGCCTTCCTGCAGCAGCCCCTCATGTCCACACAGTCATTCACAACAGCATCTTACAGTGTGGCCTAGGTCATGGGTAGGGCAGGAGGAGAGGATGGTGCCCAGTGCTTTCTGAGTAGCTTTGTATGCCCTGTTCTAACAGCCACCTGTCCCAACAACCAGCATTGCTAAGCAGGCAGATGACATTCAGACACACCAGGACAGGCACCCTGGCTGGCAGTTCAGGAAGGCTTTCTGGAGAAGGAAGACTTGGAAAATGTAAGAGTGCCCCCCCACCCAGTGTAACTGATTTTTTTTCTCTTCCCTTCACTTTTCTTTTAAAGAGTTATTTATTTTTACTAGAAAGACAGAGTTACAGAGAGAAGGAGAAGGAGAGGAAGGTCTTCCATCCACTGGTTTACTTTCTTAGTGGCAATGGCCAGAGAAGAGCTGATCTGAAGCTGGGAACCAAGAGCTTCCTTTGGATCTCCCATGCAGTTGCAGAATCCCAAGGCTTTGTGCCATCCTCTACTGCTTTCTCAGGCTACAAGCAGGGAGCTGGATGGGAAGTGGAGCAGCCACGACATGAACCAGTGCCCATATAGGATACCAGTGTTTGAAGGTGGAGAATAAGCCAGTTGAACCATGGCATCGGCCCTGTGTGGAGGATTTCTAAACATAATAGATGGTGAGCCAGAGGCACAGGAGTCTGTGAAGGTATGAGTGTGAATGTATGTGCTCCCGTTGCCTTCTCTACAGCTGGGAACCGAGCTCTTGCAGCTGCTTTGGGAGGGTAACATGATGACACTGGCTGTGTGGCCTCCGTGGCAGACCTCCAAGGAGTGGCCCCAGCTTACAGCAGCAACAGAGCTGCAGAGAGTTCAGTGCTGGGAAGTGGGCCCACATGCTTGGGAACCCTCGTTACCACAGCAGCCCCATGTTTTTTGCTCTCTGCAGCATCCCTGTTCAGCTTCTGTTTCTTTCGAGGCTGAGTGAGGGCTTCTTCCTTGTCCTCTCCCAAGCAGGGCTATGGCAAGGCTCCTGAGGCAGTGGGAGGACAGAAGTTGGCAGATCACTGACATGGCCAGGGGCTGGGGAGGGGTCTGTGGTGAGTGTGTGATGAACATGGCAGGAGTGATATGCAGTGCCAGACCCATCACAGTTCTCATCAGGTGTTGGCTGGCAGTGTGCTTATGCTCTCCTTTGGGTTCCTGTAACAGGCATTGTGGCAAGCTGGGATTTTACAGAATCCCACCCATGAGCTCCAGGGACAGGTGCTGGGCTTGAGTCACCTCTGTGCCCCTCACTGTCTGACACCTGCACCGTCTCAGGTACTTCCCACAGAGAATGCTTGCATCAAGTCTCCCAATGTGTTTCAAAGGAAATACTAGGTCAGAATTCATGCCCATAATGCATCAAAGTAGAATACTCTTTTAAAAATGCTCTAATGAGATACAACTCATTTCTCATAGAATCCACCCACTTAATGTATATAGTTCAGTGACTGTAGAACATTTGTATCACCTTCAAGTTGAACTTCATACTCTTTTGTTTCTGAGATTTATTTATTTAAAGAGTTACAAAGAGAGAGGGGGAGAAGAAGAGACCTTTCATCTGCTGGTTCATTCCGCATATGGCTGCAATGGCTGTAGTTGAGTTGGGCTGATGCTAGCAGCCAGGAGCTTCTTCCAAGTTGCCCACATGGTTGTAGGAGCCCATCCTCTGGGCCATCCTCTGCTGTTTTCCCAGGCCATTAACATGGAGCTGGATGAGAATGAAGCAGCCCAGACCAGAACTGTCATCCATGATATCAGTGCAACAGGAGGAGACTTACTACACTCTTGTGCCACCCCCAGAGCTTTATACTCTTTAATACCAGATTTTCCAGGCCCTGGCAAGCACACCTCCACTTATTGTCTGTATAGATTTGCCTCTTCTGGAAGCTTTATGTATATGCAATCATGGGACAACCTTTGATAACTGACTTCTTGCACTTAGCATGGTGATTTCTAGGTCTTTCCATGTCTACAGTTTGGAAAATGTTTCTTCCTGCTCCAATCCTAGAAGAATTTTTTTAAGATTTGTTTTACTTTTATTAGAAAGTCAGATCCACAGAGAGACAGAGTCAGAGCTTCCATCTGCTGGTTCACTCCCCAAGTGGCTGCAGCGGCCAAAGTTGAGCCAATCCCAAGCCAGGAGGCAGGAGCTTCTTCCTGGTCTCCCACATGGATGCAGGGTCCCAAGGCTTTGAGCCATCTTCTACTGCTTTCCCAGGCCACAGGGAGCTGGATGGGAAGTGGAGCAGCAAGGACATAAATAAGCGCCTATATGGGATCCTAGCAGTTGCAAGCCAAGGATTTAGCCACTAGGTTATTGTGCCAGGCCCCTCTAGAAAGTTCTTGAAAACTCAGTATTAACATTTACAATTTGGTGGAATGCATATGTAAAGTCCTCTGGGTAGGCCCTTCTTTTACTTCATCCTCTCTGAATCTGCTCAATTGATTTACCATAGCTTATGTTTCTTGAAATTTTCTATTGCACCTAACCTGTTGTCATATATTTGTTTAGGGTCTTCTCTTGTAGTCCTTGGGATTTCTTTAAGGTCAGTAACAGTGTTCCCTCCTTTTTATTTTCCAGTTGTAATCTGAGTCTTCTCTAGTTCTTGGACATTCTGACTAAAGATTTGTTTATTTTGTTGAACTTTTCATAGAATCAACTTCTGGCCCAGTTCATTTTCTCTATTGTTTTTCTATTCTCAATTTCACTATTTTCCACTGTAATCTCTCTCCTTTTTCTTAAAAAAAAAAAAGGTCATTTTTTTAATTTATTTGAAAGGAAGAATTACAGAAGGAGAGGAAAGAAGAGAGGGAGAAAAGGGGGGGAGGAAGGAGGAATAGACAGAGATTTTTTTATCATTGGTGTACTCCTCAAGTGGCCACATTGGTATGGCCTAGGTTAGCCCAAAATCAGGAGCCTGGGACTCCACTCAGGTCTCCCACCTGGGTTTGGAGCCAAAACACTTGGGTCATTTTACCCTGTTTTCCCAGGCACATCAGCAGGGACCTGGATCACAGTAGAGTAGCCAAAACTAGAATCTGTGCTCATAGAGGATGCCAGCATTGCAGTCAGAGACTTAACCTATTGTGCCACAATGTCAGCCCTGTCTAATTTCTTTATTTTTGAAATTTTATGTTTATTTATTTTCAATTTTACTTGAAAGTGAGAAAGAGCTCTTTCATTGGCTAGTTAACTTCCCAAATGCCTATAAAAACTGGAGCAGGCCAAGTTCAGGAGCTGGATCCTCAAGTTACTGGATTCCCACATGGTGCAGGGACTCAAGGACTTGGACCTTCATCATCTGCTGCCTCCAGGGCTGTGTGTTAGCAGGGAGCTGGAATCAAAATCAGAGCCAGGATTTAAATCAGGGCTCTCCAAAATGGAATGTGGACATCTCAAGTGACATTCAACCATGCATCTAATTTATTTATTTTAGAATATAGTAAAATACACATAACATAGAAGCTAGCATCTTAATCATTTTAAATATGTGGTTCAATAGCATTAAATACATTCTCATTGTTGTACAATGTACTACCACTTTGCAACCACAGAACTGTTAATATTCATTTGCAAGGTATGTACACACACACACACACACACAGAATGAAAGAGAGAAAGACTGGGCAAGAGAAAAGCTCCTATTCCCTGGTTTACTTCCCCTACTGCTACTACCAGACACCCAAAACAGCCAGGGCTGGGCCAGGCTGTGGCTGAGATCTGTGAACTCAGTCCAGGCAAGAACCCAGTAATGTGAACAATGGTTCCTGCCCCCCAGC